TTGCTTTCGCTTGTGAAAAGTTCTGCTCAAGTCTTGGCTATTGAACAGCGAAAATCACAGGTCTCTATCTCATTCCTATCAAAAGTTATTCAAAAAATTCCCACGGGTCTTGTATTTTGGGATGGATGGTAGTTGGAAAAGAGCCTTTTAACTAGATGTGTCTGTATGTGCAACTAGCAATAGTTAAATCGACCGATTATCGGGCGATAAATCGATAGTTGCACCTAGAAGCAATCTAGCAATCGCCTGATTATTAGATTGCCACTGTCGTTACCCAATAGTTACAATCGAGTAAAAATCTAGTGATCTAGATGAATCGCGGATACTAGATTTTTTTTTACGCTTGGGTAAAACTTGTATTCTGCCAGTAATGGATTATTATTTAGCATTTGACAATGATTTCAAAACACATCTCGATTACTAACATCAACTCATAAACTCGCTGCCCGTATGATATCAAATGACTATAGATCCGACAGTTCCTCTTTGATCACGAACTTAAAACTACCAGATCTTGCTCAAAGAAGAAAATTTTTCAGGTTAATCTTCTGTCACAAAATTATTACAGAACGTAGTGCACTTTCACGGAATGTTTTCATGGAATGTATCCAGCAGTGAATAGACTCCGGCCTTCAACTTGTTTGGAAATGATTTGAGATAATAATCTAAGATCCGATCTTGAGACGATGTATACTATTAGTTAGAACACCTACTAAATGTTTTCCTCCATGACTTTTTCTGTCTGCATCGTTGCTTTTCTACACAAGCACAGCTGTCACGTTTTCATCGATAAAATTTTGTTAGGCATATTATATTCAGTTACTTATTAGCTGTTGGTTTTCGAAATGAATGATAGAATAACATAAATTTTATCGATGAAAATGTGATACCTTTCTCTGCATAGAAAATGCTAAGCTGTCACATTTTCAACCATGCAGTTTTGATACATTTACGCGTGCAAGGACGACTCCTGTGCAGGAATAGCATGATGCACGCTTTCCAGGTGATGAGATTATTCGTGTATGATGCTAGTGTCACGGAGAAGAGTTTGAAGTGTTTTCCGTCTTATATTATTGGTGCGACATATTTCAATCACTCTCTATATAGAGAGATAGCTGTAATAGGAACCTGTGTTAGATGGTTTGAAAAGTCATTCACTAAACAGGGATGGTGAATTAACTGTATTATGCCGATTGAAACATATTTGTGAACATCTGCTTCAAACTGCGTTAAACAGGTTATTCTTGCATTCCTTTCAAAGATTGACACCTAATAAGTAACTGAATATAATGCGCACATGCGGTTTCAAAATTGCTCTTGATTGCCCCAGTCGTTCTATTATCAGTGTCGAAAAAAAATGTTGAATCTATGTTTGGTGATTGTGGGGCTTTCACGTTCTAAAAAAGAGAAAACTTATTGGGGCACGGCAATAATGGAACTGCTGCACATTGGCTATTTTTGCACGCGTAATGTATCAAAACTGAATCGTTGAAAATGTGACAGCTTAGTTTTTACTGTACAGACAAAGCTATAACATTTTCATCGATAAAATTTATCCATAAAAATTATGTTATTCTATCATGCATTTCGAAAACCAACAGCTAACAAGTAACTGAATAGAATACGCCTAACAAAATTTTATTGATGAAAATGTGACAGCTTTGCCCCTATAGAAAAGCAACGATATGCGCAGAAAAAAGTCACGCAGGAAAACATTTGGTATGTGTATTAGCTAATAGTATATATAAACACCATCAAAATACTTAGAAGAGAAAAGTAACAGAAACAATGTACTCACCTGATAAAATGATGAAAATCGCCACCATCATCGTCGTTTCACTAGTAACTATGCTTAGGAAGAAAAATCTACTTTGTTTCATCATTTTTTCTATCATTTAGCTGCTCGCGTGCTATGTATCCACTGCGCCAACAAATAAGGGCGATAGCGGCGGTAATGGAAATTCCGGAAGTCACAGTGGTCCAGGCTTAGCCGCTCACAATAACACGGCAAATAATAATGGAAACACTTCAAGCCCCCCGGGAAATAACGGTGGAACAGGTTCAGGTGGTAATGGGAATAACGGTGGACACAGTTCAAAAGCTCCGGGAAATAACGGTGGAACAGGTTCAGGTGGTAATGGAAATAAGGGTGGAACAGGTTCTGGCGGTGATGGAAATAAGGGTGGAACAGGTTCAGGCGGTGATGGAAATAAGGGTGGAACAGGTTCTGGCGGTGATGGAAATAAGGGTGGAACAGGTTCTGGCGGTGATGGAAATAAGGGTGGAACAGGTTCTGGCGGTGATGGAAATAAAGGTGGACACAGTTCAAAAGCTCCGGGAAATAACGGTGGAACAGGTCCAGGTGGTCCGTGAAATAACGATGGGCACAGTTAAAGAACTCGGGAAAATAACGGTGGAGAATACTGAGGCGATTAATATTTAACACCAGGGCTCGCGCATTGTGTGCTTATGATTTATGGATCAGTATCGAACAGAACTGCAGAGTTGTTTCGTCCGTACTTGCCTTGCGTGTTTTAATAGTTATTGCTGTAGCTGATGCTTTTTCATAGCAGCTGTTTGCCACTTGTTATTGTATGCTGGTTGTGTGACAGAAAATATTTGTTTACTTTCTTACATACT